GTGTATTCGCATGCGTGAGAGCAGGTCAGCGGTCAAGGTTTATCATGGCTGCTATATCTATAAGCGTGTGTGTCTAGGTCCCTGGACTTGCCGATATAGAAACAGGTGCATCCAGATCATGGATTACACCACAGCCTGCTATGGGGATCTATACATTGGCAGGTTCTTGGGTGGTGGGACCAAACATTCCGAGGCCCGATTCTCAGCCCAGTTAAGTGTTGGTGCCAGGGGCAGGTGGGGACAAAGCTGAAGAGGCGGGGCTTATTCAGGGTGACATGGGCGGAGCCTTATCCCAGCTTGATGTGGAATGACACAGCGGACCAAGGTCAACCCCCCAACAAACACAGGCCACTCTTGCATAACCCGTCGCTACTTATCTGACAGTTACCACTTCATCACTCCTTCTTTTTTGGGGAGTGGGATCCGGAAGCCGTGACACGGGGCATGCGGCAGGCCATTTCCATAGCAGCAGACCCATGCCGAATGTTTGCATGTAGCGAGATTTCCCATCCTGCCCGGAGATATGAGGGGAATGTACACTGGAGACAAAGAGCAGGGTTCCTGACTCGGTTACAATGCCGCTCTTAGCAATCCGTCATGTCACGATGAAATAAACGCCACTATTTATAATTTAAGTGCGTCCAATTTTCGGATCTTTTCAACAATTTGTTCTGTCACCACGGCAGTGTTTACAGCTATTAAATTGACTTTATTTATTTAGCTTATTGACAGATATAAGGATTTATAGTGTAATTTCAGTGTAATATAATAATGCATGAAGTGTGTTACATTCCGCTACCTAGCTGAAGTGTATATAATTACTGTCGCTAAACTGTTCCGATGCTATTTTAGCGCAGCACTCTGATACGTGCCTCACGTTACACTGTAACAAACTCCTGACTGAGACATAGGACAATGGCCTGAGGCTCGAACCCGAAAGAGCAGCATAAACCATAAGACATAAGACACATTAAGCTAACCGATTGAAAAGACCAGTATAAAATATATTACATCATTCTAGGCATGCATTTTATATTAGTATCTAAAGAGCAAACAAATCTGTGAAGGCACATTTAAGATTAAACTGCAATATGGTGTCGTCTTCTGAAGTATGACCATTATGGAAATCATATTTAAATAAGATGCACGTGTTTATATAACAGGAGTGGGAGTGTTTGGACGGGTGAATTTTAATGTCAGTCGAGGATAGTTCAGCTTTACAGTGCCTATTCTGAAATTTATTAGAGAAGTGCATACTGAAATGATTTAGGTTTAGTTTCATAAAGATGAACTGCTTATCAGTTTAAAGTGAAATGTGCAGTGGAGATTGTCATAAATGACTATACGAGCACTGTTATGTGTTTGGAATAGCAATGGGGGAAAGCATTTAGCTTTGCGGGAGTGTTTGGAGTCGTTGGCATGGAAATTTTTATGCAAACACTAGCTAGTACATTTTGTAACTTGAATTCGGCAGCAGGGAATTGCCCCCAGCTGTCAGGGTGGGGAGTGTACATACCTAAACAGGACATCTTAAATTGTGAAGTAGAGGTAGGGATGGATCGTAGCTCTCAGCAGGTTCGGACACCGCGCCTGTGATCAGAAGGTCGCCGGTTCAAATCCTGTAGTTGGCCGAGTGATTTCACCGCTGGGCCCTGAGTAGGGCACTTAACCCCAGTTGCTCTGGGGACTATTTGACCGCGCTTTCTCAAAAAAATGTACGCTGCTTGGGATAAAAATGTACGCCACTTAGGATAAATTCTGCTAAAGAACTGTAAAAGAGGGGGGTGTGAATGGATTCAGAGCATAAGACTGTAAGCGGCTGATATCAAACCTGAAATCCTTTCCCACAAGTTTTGATTCGTGGATAATGAAGGTCCAAAAACTGCATGCAAAACTTCATTAAAATTCCACATAACACGTTCACAGTAGCTCATAACCCGCTTATATATTTCTGCAGTGATATTAGCATGTGATGGTTAGCATCTGTAGAAGTTTGCACTCACGGCTGCCCCTGGCACTTTTATTAATCTCCTTGGTAACCAGTTTAGATTATGTTTCTGCTTGCACTGTCATTAAAACTGTCACTTAACTTATGAGATCTCTCCGTCGAACAGGGATTATACCTCGCAGATGGGGTATTTTGGTTAGCAGATGCTTTCGTGGGCCAAAAATAACACACCGGTCACCCTTAACCTCAAAGTTAACGGCATCTTATTTTAATTTTTTCTATTTTCTATTTTTTTTTTTTGGTAGCTTATTTTAATTATTGCAATTCTCCAAATGTCCTCTGGGTGGACTTTTTTAAAAACACACACATCATGATATATGACCGGTTCTTCAGCATATCTTAGTCCGTATTTTTAAACAGCTCAATTTCGATAACGCTTCAAATTCAACAACCGATATTTTCAAATCAAATATAGCAACAACAATAATAATAATAATAATAATAATTATAATAATAATAATAATGCATTTTATTTATAGGTGCCTTTCAGGACACTCAAGGACACCTTACAACAGGGGCACCCAACTCCAGTCCTGGGGGGCCAGAGCCCTGCACATTTTTGGGTTTCCCCTCATTTAACACACCTGATTCAACTCCTTGTGCTAATTACCACACAGTTCTTGAGCTGCATCATTTGTGGTGGAACAGGGAAAGAACTAAGCTACACAGGGCTCCGGCCCCCCAGGACTGGAGTTGGGCACCCCTGCCTTACAACATACAGTACATTTCACTGATAAACCCAGTAGCTAAAATGGATATACTGCATCTATTAAGTGTAACAGGGCAAGTGTCGAATTCTGCAGTTCAGAACAGTGGTTAAAGGTGTTTGCTGTTCCATTGACATTTTCTTATCTTCTCAATCCCAGCCATTCATCGCTTAACAGCCTTTTGAACAGTGGGACGCTTTACACAATGTTAAAAAAAAATCGTTAGGGAAAGCTACAGGTGTCCCGGCTTTTCAAAGCTTCTCACAATAGCAGGATTAGCAAGAAGCTTTCACGACAAATAGCCAACATTTACATAAATCCAGTAGTAGCTAATTTTAACCAAATGTGATCAGTCTTCTAAATATAACTAGAAATCAAATATATCAAAGACTAGCTGTCCAAATTGGAAGACCAGTGGTATATTTTCAGAAATCATTACTAGGACTGCTGTTATGTTTTGAAATAAAGATTAAATATTAGCCGTTTGTAAATCGTCGATGTCTATTTGAAGAAATATCAAATTGTGGTTGTGTATAGCTCAATAGGTCAGAGATCTGCGGCGCTGTCAGGAGGATCGTGGGCTGAAATAGTCTGATGTCACGTAACTTTCCACACAACGTCACATAAATAACACAGCGGGGCACAATGAGTCTGTGAGCATGTCGTAAAATGTTTAATTGCATCACTCCTTTCAGACAGTGCAAAATGTGCTACATTCACAGCTATCTCCTTAATACTGTTTAGAAAAAGAAAAGTACTTTTATTTTTACCGCAATGAGTCATTTTAGTAAAATGTTATTACGTCATTTTGCTCTATATTTAGCAACAATTAAAATGGAGAGTATCAGTCAAAGGCCATTCGTTGTAAGTTTTTCATGCTTTCTGAATATTTTGGGCTGAGCCACGGCCGTAGACGAGCGGTCAGCGTCAACGTCCCTGGCGACCCGAAATCAGGTGGGACGGCTCACGCCGCAGAGCAGCGAAAACAGCCCAGGTAATAAATTGCAGACACAGACCTTTCATTAAATACCATGGAAACAGCACTAGAGACAGTAATTATTCTTGTCTTTTTCCATTCATAAAACATCACATAATTAATCAACTGTTTCAAATCATTACTTACTTATTACACACTTTAGAAATCACATAAAAATAGCAACACTATTTATGTGGAGCAGAAGAAGCTGCTGGTACGATATGGATTTAAAACCGAGCGTGTGCTTTTGTGAAAACTGTGGATAAAGTCGTATGAAAATGTATTTTTTGTTAAATAAAGTGAAAACACAGTGTCCTGTAAGTTGTTCTATTCATACAAATAGTGGCGGGAACGTAAGAAGGTCCGTGATATGATATGTACAGGTAAAATATGGATACTTAATGTCAATATGTGTACTAAACACAGGAGGCTGGTCCATTGAGGTATTCTTGAGATTCAGTTATGAAATGAGTAATAATTTTATTGTCATTTAGAAACACTTTTTCTCTCTTCTTTTGAAAATCAATCAGTATTGTAATATTGTAAAATGTATGATCTTCTTACATCCTCTGGTTTTTCAGCCACCAGCCACTATTCCAAAGTAATCTAGTAGTCCCACAATCACTGTCTCTGATTCAAATACATATTTACCCCGAAATTTCAAACTGTGTGAACACGTCTCATGCTTTTCTTTTCATAATTTACAAGCCATCGTGAGGTTACCAGTCACTGCAATTCATGACAAATAAAGTTAAAACTTACATAAGACTTAAAAGCGAAAGGACAAGTGCCAGGAAGCCTTTGCAGGCATAACTGTAGAAACTCTGAGAAAGACATCATTGGGTAACGCTTTACATTAACTGCACCTTCATGATGCTTTTATATTGCATTCATAAAACGTTCAGTGCACCTTCATAATGTATTCATGAAGTATTCATAAAACATTCATAAACATCATGTATGTATACCATAACATCCTAACATCCCTTTAACAGCTGTAATATACATGAATAACAAACATTATATAATAGTAACAAACACTATAATTGTATAATCATGTAATGTTTGTTATTAATATATATTAAAGCTGTTAAGGGATGTTAGGATGTCAAGGTGTACTTGCATGCTGCTTATGAATGTTCTATGAATGCATTATGAAGGGGCACTGAATGTTCTATGAATGCATTATGATGGTGCACTGAATGTTCTATGGATGCATTATGAAGGTGCATTGAATGTTCTATGAAT